TGAGTGCTGCTCCAGTAGTATATGATGCTATAAGGATACAGATGGCCTCATTCTCACGTGGTAAAGTGATTGAAAACTGAACTATGACATTGCAAAAAAATTTTCTTGAATTGAAATAGTCTGGGTAGCAGCAAAGAAAGTCTCAAGTTTCGCAAAACGTTTTACATATTTTCCCGAATGCCTCATTGTTTAACTCATTTCATGTTTATGATGGGTCCTTAAAGTCACGCAACGGTTACAGAAATTATTCTGTCTGCCATTCCTCTATACAATAACAGTCCGACCTTGATCTTTTCCGTACTCAACGGTGTGGACGATAAACTGGTTTTTAATTGGTTTGTGAAGTTGACAGCAATCTACCTAATAAACTTATAAGTAGATGTGTCACGGTTCTTTGGAGCAATGGGCGTAACGCTGATGAAAAGTACGTCTTAAACAATGTTAAATACTATCATGCTGCATATGACTAATAGTACGTTACCTGCTAGTTGGTTGAACGACGTCACCTGGTTCTGTAGAAAAGGAGCCGATTTCTTGAAGCATCCCCTCAGCTGTTGCAAACTTTGAAAACTTAACAAGCTGATAAGAGGCTTAGACCATCTTCCACTATCCAGCTCAGCCCTTTCCTCAAATTTTAGCCACCTTGACCTTTCAACCCAACAGCATTCATCGGCCGTTTCGTCTTCGCAATTGGATTCAAGAAATAGCAATTCGCTGAACAGCGGATGCGCCTCCAAGCTGTGCACATCGCCTTCATCTCCTTCCAATATGTAGTGGAGAACTTCCAGTGGTCCTAGAAGAACAATATTTTATTGAAATTTCGGTGATTCAGTTTCGAGCAAAACTAAAAGAAACATAAGTACAGGAAGAAGCAGCTGGATAACAGGGATTATTCTGATTAGTGGATAGAATATTAAAAAAACAAAGAAATAAACAGCACAATTTGAAACTTAATTTATACTGAAATCGTCCACATTTAATTTTTTTATTTGTAATTTAAAGCCTCTTATCGTCGTCATCTACTTTGGTCGATCTATTGCTGGATGAAAATCTATCCAAAATATCGCAACAAAATTTTGTCTACAGTTCATATCCACTTTGTTAAAACATATTTCTGCAACCGATACTACCGCGATCCGGGGTCTCCTCGCACGCCGGTTACTGTCATTTCTCAGCCGGCGATGAGCAGGCAACTAAAAATTGCTGAAGCAGTATTCACAGAAAAGTCACTGAAAGTAGAGGGCTGGTCAGAATTTAGAACCAGCCGAAAATTATCAGCCTAAGTCACTACCACCAACCAGATAAATATGCTGAACCGAATGTAGAAAGCTGGAAGCAAAATCGATATATCGCATCTGCGATAAATGCACAAGGAATAACTCCTCCAAAATTAAATCCCGTTGATGCATCTGACGTTAAAAAAGCGGCAAAGCTTGTGAAGCCGCAAGCTGGTGATATAACTCATTGCTCAACTAAAATACGGAACAGCGTAATATGCTGCAAACTCTGATTGAGAGATATTGATGCGCATTTTACTCCGTGAAATTCGTTGAAGTTTCATCTCAGTGAAAACAGCCGCAAGGATTGCAAGAAAAATCATCATGGTGAAAAGGAGAAAAGAATTCATAGGTAAATAGAAATTGTCGTTCTGAAAGTGTGTCATCATGATTGGCAAAATTTTTTAATGTGAGAATCTATCCTGAGTATACTTTCCGGATGTACATTCGAAATTAATGACATCCGTTAACATCAGTTACAAACTATTCTTCCAGACAATGGTTTATATTGAATGATTTATTGCAGGATATTTGGCAGTGTTGTTTCTGCTTTCTGTTGCTGCTCATTATTGTACTACTTTCACCATTTACAATTCCTGTACTTGAATAAATTTGGGAGAAGAAATGCAATTGATACTATGACTGTATGCTTTCTGCTTAGTCGAACGCTTGCACGGAAACATCACGTTTTACCTAACTGCGTAAGTTCCGCAGATTTAGTAACTAAAATTTACCGCAGACTGTAGACCATGTTCTACCTGCTGTATTGCTTGATGTTCCTAGAAAGTTGCTTTCGGTATATTTTCTTCTGGTAAGCTAAGTGCCTGTGAAGCGGGTTCTGGTCAATACTGTCAAAATAGTAAAATCATTTAGTCTAATTTATCCAGCTAGAAGAGGTAGTAGCTGTTTTATCCTTGAACTGAGGGAAACGATTCAGAAAGGGCGACTGCAGCCAACTCTGGACATTGCAACTTTTGGAATAGTAATGAATCTGCAACAGCAGTCTTGAGAAGAACAATTTTATTCGCCTTAGCAACGCCATTACTATCAACATAACGTTGTATTCAGTCTACGAAAAATCATACAATAGGCAACAAAATTTAAAAAGTACATTCTTCGCGGTCAACGTCACAAACTGAGAATAAGTCTGGCTGACTCTGGCCATTACTCATAGGAAACCCTCAGAGTATTACTGAGGTTTTTATCATTTCGCAATCTGTAGAAACTGACGAATACCCGCGGATCGGCGTAGGCAAACGAGAAAATAAATATATCGATCCACCGTTTCTGACATATAGTTTTAACTGTGACTGTTCGTTTGCAGAGTCATTTGTATTAAACTAAAAGTTTTGGTTTGAATTTTGTTCGTTCCCATGGGCGTATGATCACCGGTCTTTGGGACAATTAAAAATATACCTAGATAGACGTCAAACATGTAAACAAAAATATACATAGATGACGCCAGACAAGATATAATAGAAAATAGAATAATTTTTGCCGCTTCTTCCTTTTCTGTATGATTTGCGTCTTTTCTTCTGATATTTTTTTCTGTCACATCAGAAGCATAAAATTTGCTGTCACTGAGGAAATGACAGCCTATAAAAAATAAATCATCACGACTTATGACCCTCCACTATTTGTACCAATTCTATTTCTTCATACCTATACAACTTCTTCACTTATTCAGTATGGTAAAGAGTCACGGAAAATCTGCTTTGTCGCATTAAACACTGCTCGATTCCTGCTTTCTACGTGAAATCGATTGACCATCAATTATTTAATTAAGGGTTCCGGATGGGTTCCTTGTTGAACCAGGTCATGAGTAAACTGGGACAGCAGCTTACCGAATCCAAATTTGAAGCCTGTTCCCTCAAAATCTATGGCCAATGATCGCTGCACAGCTTCACTCTGTTGAGCAGCACTTCGTTAGTTGATTGGTTTTCACACTGAGAACAGAATAACAACCGTGAACGACGCGTAAAAACAAAGCGTCCTGGTAAAAAAAGAATCCACACCCCTGGTCAAGTCAAGGATAAAGCGAAAACAGCTGTGGAATTGTGCAGCACTATGATCAAGAAGGACACGATTTCCCCAATGATTAGAGTTTCTTGATGTCATTAGAGAAAGACACCACTGGTTGAACAGGCGTGTCAAGAAACCATTACTCATTCAGTTCCTGTGACAACTTCAAACATGAAAAAGAATAAGAACTATACGCGGATTGGAATGGTAGTCTTGTCGCCAGGTAGGGAAGAAACTACTCAAGGGGCAGCACGAACCAGAAACTCATCTTCTGGCTCTAAATGGAAGAACGCTTGCGAACTACGGAAAAAAATTCCAGAGCAAACAGAACTTGCTACCTTGAAGATCGTTTGAAATCTCGATTTGAAACATTTGCCAAAACGTTGGACTGGCAAAGCAATGAGTGGCTAAACGTTTAATTTTTGCTAAATAAGCCGTGTTTTATGATATGATATATTCAGCTTCAGCCCATTCCTTTTAAACAACCTCGAAATTTAAAAGGCAGCGCCGTTAACTGGAACAAACTATCCCAAGCAGAGGCCTTTCTTGAAGCTATTTCTGACCGAAAACCGTGTCCGCAAGACGGAGACTCATTTCACCGGCCAGACCTAAAATTTAAACCTAAACACTCCAGCTTTCGAACTGAGGACAATCGATTTTGGAAGAGTGGTTCTTTCGAAACAAAGTGAAAACGTAATTGGTGAGGGCCAAAACCAAAACCTTTACAATGGGGAATTCGTGAACAATATTCTACGCGCTTTTCCTTACTGAGCAATATAAATTTCACTTCCAGTTGAAACGATTCATCGAATTTGAGGCATCGACTAAGACTCGCGGATTAAATTTCGAATTCTGCTATTCGGTAGAAAGTTGGCCGTGCAGTCAGCCAAGACAGCTTGCCGGCAACCTGACAGAAGTCTTTCAATCACGACTCCTAATCCTCGCGAACAGGATCACGATCGATGTCGATGTTCAGAGGAATTATGGCGTAAAGAACAACAATCTTGTGCAAGTGACGTGATGCTCATCAGTTGCTTGTTTATCATCTTACGTCAAGCTCTTAATTCTTCTTCGAACGCTACCCAGGGTCGGCGATCTCACTTATGCTAGCATTGCTATGGAAACCTAAAAAGCAATAAGTTCAGACGATCAATCAATCGCTCGGTTAGTCGGTCAATCATAAGGGCTGGTTGGCAGGCAGGCAGTCAGTCAGGAGGTCATTAAGTCAGCATCGATACCATGACGATCTGTGGCCAAGTACTATGGTGGACTTTGCCGCTGTTCTCACGCCTTGTCCTTTCTCATCGGGACTTGGAACAGACAATCAAGCTTGAATGTATCTTGTGACTATGCAACGGTCATTCTCTACCAAATGGATATAAGAAAACCATGGTGCCTTACTCCAACATGGACATGAATGAGAATTACAAGCTCCTGTTCTTGTACCTGGATTTAATTAGTTAGATGCGCCTCGACAGTAAAAAACAATATGCGTGATCCTCAGGTACCAGTGATGAGGCACAGCAGCGAGTTCCGTATCGAAACAAAACATGTGGCGGACCGTCGAAAGTCGCGGTATCTGTGCACTAAAACATGTGGCTTCAGGCGAACAAATTTTTAAATTTTCGAATGCGAATGCCTCTGATCATTCATCTGTCAATGTTTCTTCTAGTTAACGTTTTATTAGTGTGAAGAAACTTAGCCTCTTTAAGCGAGGAAAGACTTTTCCTACATAATTGGTCAGATTTGCTACTCATTCTATCTTTGTTAATCCTACAGTTGGAAGAGATTTATTTTCCGTGAGGAATGTTAACTTTAGTGCAACAGTGGCGAGCACTATCGATCATGAGTCTGAGGCAGTATTTCAAAAATTCAGATGACACATGTGCGCTACTCCGCAGTGCCAGCTTTGCATGCTTTATATGACAGCAATATTCATTCCTGGCATAATTAGTAGTTTCTTTTTAACTGTTGTGTTTGATAATCTTTCTAAACTCAATAATCCAATCATCACGTGATGTTTTCATATCAGGCGCTCAATAGCTGCAAAATTGTTGTTTATTCAAGTTTAGGCAATGCCTTTGTTTTAAATCGACCCGGAGTTTGTTTAGAAATAATATGATTGACTTATGCATCCTTTTAGTCTTTAGTTCAAAGTGTGGCAGTGACCTGATGATCTCAATACTTCAAGTTCTCAGAAAGAATTCCTTCAACCCGAAAGTACTCACTGCAATGGAAACGAACTGTTTCACGTCGATTCCAAAGTCGTACATCTGATCACCACTTTCACAGGTGTAATGGATATTGAT